ATTGTGTGGTCTTGATCAATGATAATTATACCAAGTTGACTTCCACCCATTGCTTCTAGCCACTTTCAAAAACTCATATAAAGGACTTTATCTTCTCATCGAATATATATGCAAACCCAAAAAAAAGTTGTAATGAAGTGGTGATTCACCGCAATGATAGGAGCAAAGGGCATGCCAAATGAGTTCGTTTTGTATGTGGTATCAAAAATGACCACATCATAGAAGTGATGGTACAACACCCTTGACATGGCACCTACCCATAGTATTCTAATAATGTGCTCCTCTTCATCTAATTTCAACTTATAGAAAAATGATGGGTTTGATTTCATCATTTTATTAAGCCATTCCATAGCGTGATTGTTGTCTTTTCCTCTGAATTTGCTTCTAGTGTTTTCTATTTGGTTTTCGATGTCTTTTTGTGAGCATGGGAGATTATCAATCCCCCCAGCTTGCTCTATAAAAATATCATTAATATGTCTCACCATCACCACAGTAGAGCTCATGGAGTTTATCATCGTCTTGGTTGCACATGATAATGTTTGATGCGAGCAAATGAGTCGAGCTTTCCTTGGAGTGACAAGCTTGTGGTTGTGATCCCTTACAAACCTAGTCACAACACACTCATTATTAGCATTTATGCTTATACCTAGCCTAGCTAAATATCCGCACCCTGTTTGAGGGACTTTCTTTGTACATAACCCATCTCTCTCTCTACAAAACCCTTCCTTAGAGCAATTAAACTCCCTATCTATTCTTTGATCATCGTTATTGTAAGCAGTTCCCCTTCGGACACCAAACTTATGCGCAAATGCATAAGACTTGTAAAAATCATATGCATCACTTTCAGAACCAAATTTCATTCCTATAAGGGGTTCTTCTATTTATGACCCCTTAGACGACGAACATTGTTCCCCATTTCACGTACTTGTGAACTTCATAGGGAGGAGTGCGAGCAAGGCTTCTTACTCCATGGGCTCAATGGTGTCCCCCATGTTATCATGATATGATAATGTAGGAGATGAAACGCTACCTGAAATGGTGAAGTCCATCTCAGGTACTTTAATGACCCTATACAAAACGCAATCTATATGAACTTGTGACTCCAAGCACTTCACAGGTTCATGAAGACCAAATAGGGTTAGACCTATCATAGAGTTGAGTCACCAAGATCAATGATGGGCAATAGATGGACATTGAGACTACAAAAGCCACCATGTATACAATCTTGACAATAATAGCAAGCATATTGCCCAAGACATGTTTGTCGAGAAAGAATCTATATTTTCAGTTTAAAAGGCTTATAGCGTGCTACTAAGATAGAGAACAATGGCATTATAACACATCCAATACAAGAAAGAGACAAAGTAGATGCATATTTGAGAAAATAACTAAATCGTGACTGTAATCAATGGAAGTTGTACAAAATGCTATGAAGACCTTCCTCTAGAATATTCATCAAGGCTTATTGGTATTCAAATTCCATGAAATGTGGTATTCATGAGAATGTGGACAAGGAAACGCAACGATATTGACATCCAAACTCCTTAATGAGAAACTTCTTTGGAAAAGTTAACATTAGGTTGGAAACTCAAGTTAGAGAGTTGAGGTTTTAAAGTAAACCATCCAATTCTTAGTCTTAAGGACAGTTCTTATTATGTTGTTTCATATAGCTCTATACCTGCTTGCAAATACATTAAAGAAGCTCTTGAATAGTTTGTCAAGAATGGGACAATCTCACAATCAAAAGAGCAGTAAAGATGTCATTATCAATAGAATGCTTGCGTAATATTAACTCCATTGTCACACAAAATGTATTGATTGGGACAAATTGGTAACTATCAATCAATTTGGTGATTTTCTATACACCAAACAAAAACACAAACACTATGTTCATAGAAATAATAAGGTGTTCACATAAATAATGAGGTGAAAAATTGAAAGGACACATATAGAGAAGAATATAGGAACAAAAGTCAATTACCTCTAATAGAGCAGAGAGAGCAGCCATTCTAATGCTAATAAGTTGGTCAAAGCAAGAAACTCCTATGGTTTCCAAAGTGACCTCATCTAGTATCCTACCAAGTAGAGTAGTAGATTTTGTAATAAGAAACAAAGCAGCCTTTCCCACAACTTTCTTCTCATCCACACACCTCCTCCTCAACAAAACATTCAAATCCTGACAACCCACCCCAGGTGTTATTGGTGTAAGCCCTGGCCCTGAAAATGGAGAAGGCTTGAGATCCCCAAAAATGAAGGGAGGGAGGGAGCTAGGGCGAGAGAGGGTGGGGGAGAGAGAGAGAGAGAGAGAGAGGAGGAGTGAGAGTGGCGGAGTGGGAGGGGAGACGACCGTCCGTTTAGTTTTGGTCGGGGGGAGGGGGGAGGGAGGGAGGTAGAGAGAGAGTGAGAGGGAGAGATGTCAAGAAGAGAAAAAGAGAGAGAGGGAGAGAGTGCGAAGAGAGAGTGATAGGTCATTTGGGTTGGGTTTATAGAGAGAGAGAGGGAAAGAGGGTGGAGAGAGAGAGAGCGAAGAGAAGTGTAAGGACATTTACGCAATTAATGTGTACACGGAGTAGGCATGTCAGGTATTGGAGGGGGGAAAAGCAACTTTTTAAAACACGCACCAACTGTTGGATGAACTTCCCTTAATCAATGTCGTCCGCGTATCAATAGCCATATGCGAGCCGGCTGACGGGATGAATTATATATATATATATATATGTAAGGTATCAACCTTATATTACAAAAGTGAGACGTACCTGAAAAATCTATTTAAAAAGGTTGTTGCAATACTAGAAAACCCTCTGATTGATCATCTCGACATCGAGATTACGTACATGAGGAGAAAAAGGATTTCAAATATTAAACATAGTACATCTTGTAGTACATCATCTGGACAGTTCATTTTCATGATTTTCAAATGTTTATAGATGTGCTTGATCAACACCATTCTTTAGCTTTAAATTTGATAATGAGGAGTGGAAAAAGATTTTTCGGCATTTATAGGAGTTTCGACACCAAAACTGCATCTTCCGACAAGGTTTGGAGGTGTACCTTACTCTCAATCATTTATGGTGGGTGCCTTATATATGGGGAATGATTTCGTGTCATTGTAATATAATGAAAGCACACTTCTAGAAAATCATGTTTGTAGCATTTGTATGACTTCAAATTTTGCATAGTCACTATTTTCATCACAACAATCAACTTCAAAAAAATAAAATTCAGTTTGCATCTTACATGTGGTCAACATGAGCGACCTCCAAGAATGAATCTAGACGCTCCATTTGGTAAATTTCAAGATCTGGGCCTTTAAGAACTCAAAATCAATTTGTCCTTTTCTAACATAGTCCATCTAATGATAACAAAGCCATTTACAAAATTTTAAAAGGGAAAAAGGTTCCTTCGAAGGCCTAGATCTAAGCATCTCACCAAAAGGACAGTCTATGTTAAGTGGGTTAAAAAGACACTTTTTATAGTGTATTTTCAAATTTTATTTTTTTGTGATTGTTCATCAAAATAAAAATGATATATGTTTAAAAATTATGGTCAAACAAATGGTTGTAGCATGGTTTCTAAAGATTCTTTCATTATATTACTATACAACAGTTCATGAAATTAGCCCCTGGTCCAAATAAGGTGGCAACCTTAACTAAAGTTGCAGGAATTTACATCATCCATCTTAAATGGATGGTGCAGATTAGGTGCTATATCAAAAGATGTGCCAACTTACCCCAAAAAAATAAAAAGATGTTCCAAATTTTGATATAGAAATGCATACATTGAGACTATTTACTTTTGATATAAGGAGGCCACAATTGTTATAGTCCGTTAAATGTAGAATCGGGTGGCTGGGCATGAGAAACTTTCTCAAATGTTGCTATACAGTTAGATCTGTTGAATTTCACATGCAATGGCTAATAGTGATTATGATTCTTTTGTACCACAAGTGACTGGTCTTAAAAGACATGCCAAATCTATACTAAAAGACATGTCAAATCTATACGATCTAACTAAATGGACAGTATATTTATAACCTTACACTTAAGAGTAAAGTTTGCGGTTTGCCATCTTTTATATATATATATATAGGGAAAGCATATAATGAGATCATTTACCTTTGGTACAAAGTGATCATAATTAATCTTGACCAGTGGATGTGAAATTGGGTGGCTGCATTTATTTTATTGACTAAGCTCAGAGTTCAAAAAAAAAATTCTCGAACTTTGTGACACACCCAAGCTATCAGATTTGACATCAAATGGTTGTAAGTAATTGTATCTCCCTGTACTCAAGGTAAATGGTCTCATGGTATACAATCCCATTTATATATATATATATATATAGGGACATGTTTATATAGAGCCCAGGCTCACTTTCACTGGACTAGGTTGTTTTGATGCCCAAATATCATCCAATTGATCATCTCTACATCAAGATGAATGGAAATGAAAAAAAATGGATTTCAAGTTTTGGAAATAGTGCATCTTGTAAGGCATTTTTGGACTGTCAATTTTCAATATTTTCAAGTTTTCATATATATGCTCAATGTAAACTATTTTTTAAGCTTTAAAATTTATAACTATCGATGAAAATATAATTTAAGGCTATCACAAAACTTATTGAAACCATATTTCTTGACACTAAACCCAACTCAAGGATTGATCTCTCTTAATAACTTTTGAACACGTAAATCTATATTTTCTTCATACAGAAAACCAAAATAAAGTCAACCTAAACCCAAACACATTTAGTTCACAGCATCACAACTTAAAACAACCCAATATCTTAAAATTCAGGCTTAAACAGAACAATCGAAACCAAACCATCATTAAACATAAGCCTCATCACCATTAAAATTTGAATTGCCATGAATCAGCACTACCCAACATTGAAACCTTGGAGTTTCTCCACAAAAAAGATGATTTCCAGGACGGAAAATGGCGGAATAAGGAAAAATTAACAGATGGGTAACAAATGGACGAGAGAAATGAATCGTTTACCTGTCTCTAATATCAGAGCTAGGTAAGAGTTCCTGCGCTTTTGGAAAGCTTGTAAGCTGATGAAACCACAGAGAAGCAACAGAAGACCAGACCCAAGACCTCCTGCTAAAGATACAAGGCTTCCCTTCTTAGCATATCCAATGACTCCTCCTGTAAGAAGTACAAGCCCGTAAGGGATGGTGAAGCAAAAATCGTGCATTCTCTCTCTCTTGCCAGTAATGAATGGGGTTTCTCTGGAAATAAGCTCTCTCTCTCTAGAAATGTCGAATGCGATCAGTGAGTGGGATCTGAGTTCGATGGTTTTGTGAAGCAGCCAATGGGACCCATGTCCTGTAATTGATTTTTCTCACTTTTAAGCAGATGAAAATTCTCTCTTAACCTCTTTTACTATGTTCAAGTTTATAATAAAAAAATTAAGCCACTTATTTTCAACATGTTAAAAAGTCCTATTACAATTTGAAAAATATACTACTATTTTATTATTATGTTCAAGTTTATAATAAAAATTAGAACTATTCAATAATCTAAATCCTTAGTTTCGTCAATCTAATTGAGTTTCACGACCTGATAGAGAGACATTAGAGCACTTATTTTCTATATATAAAAAACGTATATTATAATTTTAAAAATATACTACTATTTTATTACTATGTTAAGTTTATAACAAAAAAAAATTAAACTATTCAAGAATCTAAATCCTTAGTTTTTTCAATCTAATGAGTTTTATGACCTGTGTGAGAGAGATCAAACCACTTATTTTCTATATATAAAAAAATCATATTACAATTTGAAAATATATTGCATAGAGATAGAGACAAACATCGTATCTTTTATTTTTCTCTTACGAAAATATTTTTGAGCTAAAAATTCCTTGTGAGATATCAGTAAAGAAATGAACTTGAGATAGAGAGATAAATACATAATTTTCTCACAGGATAAGGTGAGGCGTGATAAGCTTTTGGGCTAAGGCATGAGGGTTTATAGTGAGAAAGGATCAAAGAGTTTTTCCCTAAAAAGATATTTCGGGAGAGAGAGATTAAAGGAGAAAGAATGAGTGAAACAAGGGAAATGTTATAGGAGAGATTTAATATAAGAGATCACATAGATGGAGAGAGAAATAATTGGTTTCTTTATTATACATTTTTGGGAGTTATTGCAAGATAGAGAAAATAAAAAGAGAGAGCAACCGTTGAGAGTGACCTTTGAGAAGAGGGAGAGAGAGACATAGAAACTGTAGAGATGAAACTATATATGATATAAATAAGAGAGAGATGTGAGATTTTAGAAAAATAAATGGAAGAGAGATTTTAGGAAAGGGTGAGATAGAGATAGAAAAAGTAAAGAGGGAAACTGTAGATGATATGAATAAGAGATATAAGAAAGAGAATTTAAGAAAGATGTAAGACATTTAATAAAAGGTGTAAGCTGGGGAGAGAGAGAGAAAATCGTGAAACGTGTGGGGAAAGAGAGATTTATTAAGAAAAAAAATATTGGAGGTGAGTGATTTATTAAGAAGGAGGAAAGTAGAGACAAATGGCACAAAACAAGGGAAGAGATTTAAGGAAATGTGTAAGAGGGAAAGAGAGAAGAGAAAAAGATGTGTAGGTAGGGGGAGGGATTTATGAAGGAAGATAAAAAATGGGACACGTGCACAAAAATAGAGGGGGTGTCCCTCTCGCTTAATATATAATAGATAGATATGAGATTGTAGGCCATAAGACCATTTATTTTTTGTATGAAGAAGTCACAATTACTTTTAACCAATGGATCTAATATTCAATAGATGAAAGTGTGTCACAACATTCGAGATTTTTTATTTTAAACTTTGTGCCCAAAGAATGATACATCCTCAACCATTCGATTTCAAATCTAACAGTAAATGATGATTGTTACCTCATCGTATCAAAAGTAAATGGTATCATTATATATATATAGTGAGCTTTGGAAATAAATAAAATTTTCAAAGCTCTGATACCATAATTAGGACCTGAATATTTCTTCTCTGACTATGAAAAGGACTTAGAAAAAGAAAAAGAAAATTGTCAATACATTATTATAATTCGATAATAAATATGAATGATTTAAATATCAATGCCTTTACAAAAGAAGAAGATTTAATTATAAATCTAATTGACAAAATAATAGACCCTGAGGCTAAGAAAAAAGCCTTAGTAAAATATATCAATATGTCAAAAACTACATCAAAGAAACGAACTCTTCTCTTGTTCATACAAAAGAAGACTGCAGTTTTCAAGATATTCTAAAAAGAGTACAAAATAAAACCCATAAAGAAAATGAACCTTCAATATCTGAGCTAAGATTTGAAATTAATGAAGTCAGAAATGGACTGATAGCCTTAAAATCAAGAGGTCAATTTTAGAACAAGCTCAAGACCCAATCAGAGAAATAATTGAAGAAGAAAATATAGAGGAAGAATTTGATCAGTTAATCACTGAGCATAATATCCACTTTCCACCAGAAGTTGAAGATGCCCTTCCAAAACTCAAAATTGATATGAATATAATAGAGAAGGTTCAAACTTGTAAATATATAAACTTGGTAGATAAAATTATAACTCAAAAATGGTTTACCAATATCAAAATTGTAGTACAAAAGGAATACAGCTTCCAAACCACCGCTTTAATAGACTCGTGGGCAGACCTGAATTGTATTAATGAAGGTTTTGTACCAACTAAATACTTCAATAAAACTACCCAAATCCTTAATACGGCAGTTGGCAGTAAAATGCTCATAAACTACAAACTAATTAATACTGTAGTTTGCAACAATGGTACTTGTTTCAATTTTCCATTTAGAATGGTAAAAGGGTTAAGCCAACCTGTTATCTTAGGGACTCCATTTCTGAATATGCTCTATCCAATAAAAATAGATGACACAGGGATAGAAGCTAGCATTGAAAGGCATAAGGTAAAATTTACCTTTATTGAAAAGCCTAGAGTCCATGCGATTAACAAAATTAAAGATATGATTTCTTCCAAAGAAAAATTTTTGTATCATCTCAAAGAAGAAATAAAGTATAAAATATAGAAGAGAAACTATCTCTTCTAGAAATACAAAGCAAAATCAAATCATTAAGAATAACTATGGAAAAAGATATTTGTATAGATATTCCCAATGCATTTTGGGATATGAAGCAACATATAGTAAAATTACCATATGAACCAGATTTTAGAGAAAGTAAAATTCCTAAAGCTAGACCTATTCAAATGAATAATAGGTTGCTTGAAATTTGCAAAAAAGAGAAATAAGAATTGTTAGAAAAGAAGCTTATCAGAAAAAGCTCATCACCTTGGAGCTGTTCAGCCTTTTATGTAGAAAATGCCTCTGAGATAGAAAGAAGAACTCCGAGATTGGTAATAAACTACAAACCACTCAACAAAGTCATGAGATGGATTAGATATCCAATCCCAAATGAAAGGGATCTCTTGGATAGACTAGTCAATGCATGTATATTTTCAAAATTTGATCTCAAATCAGGTTACTGGCAGATTCAAATTTTCGAAAGAAGAAAAATACAAAACTGCTTTTAATGTCCCATTTGGAATATTTGAATGGAATGTTATGCCATTTGGATTAAAAAATGCACGCTCTGAATTTCAAAACATTATGAATAAAATTTTTAATCCTTACACTAAATTTATGATTGTCTATATTGATGATGTACTTATTTTCTCAGAATCACTTGAGCAGCACTGGAAACATCTAAGTGCATTTATCAAAGCAATAAAAAATGCTGGCTTAGTAGTCTCCGCAAGAAAAATAAACCTTTGCCAGTCAAAAATTAGATTTTTAAGGCATAATATTTTTTAAGGACGCATTATCCCTATTGATAGGGCCATAGAATTTGCATCCAAATTTCCAGATATAAATCTTGACAAAACTGAATTACAAAGATTTCTTGGTTGCCTAAATTATCTTTCCATTTTTACAAAGACTTAGCAATTGATGCAAAACCTCTATTCTAAAGACTAAAAAAGAATCCCCCAGCATGGACGGATAAACATACTAAAGCTGTAAAAAAGATCAAAATAAAAACAAAAAATTACCATGTCTGACACTATCCAGTCCTTCGGCATTTAAAATAGTTGAAACGGATACCTCAGAACAAGGATTTGGTGTCATACTAAAACAAAAGGTAAATAATCATGAACACTTGGTTCGTTTTACGTCTAAGACCTGGAACCCCGCTCAACAAAATTGCTCAACAGTCAAAAAAAGAGATACTCGCTATAGTCCATGCTGTTACTAAATTCCAAAGTGATTTAGTTAACCAATCATTCCTTTTAAGGACAGATTGTAAGGCAGTTAAAGACACCCTCAAAAAAGACGTAAAAAATCTTATGTTCAAAAAAATATTTGCACGATGGCAAGGTATTTTTTCTGCTTTCGAATTTACTATCGAGCATATTAATGGTCAAAACAATTATTTGCCTGACTTCTTGACTCGAGAATTTCTGCAGGGAGGACAAACGAAGCTAAAGACAGACGATGGATATAGTTCCTAGTACGAGTTTAGCCCTAGCCTCCCCGTCAACACCAAAATCTTTAATAGAAAGCAAATACAGGATATTGATATATCTTTCTCTCAAAATCCGATATGCACTCAAACTCCTAGTGTAAAATCAATATACTTAGAGACAACATATATTCCACTACTGATCATGGAAAACGAACATCAGTCCAAACATCCGACTGAAATAGTTGTCTTATATTTCAGGCATCATATGCATCCAAATAATGGGGATAGATGTCGAGAATGGTATGAATGTATCTTAATAAAAACAGAATTAGTTTTCATAGTCCATCATTCCCGAAACAATGATAGTGAAATAGCATATTCCAAATTTCAAATAAAAAAGGTTATCACTTATAAAGAGTGGGGACTGGACCCCTTGAAACCCAGGATCATCAAAACAAAAGGATTTAAAATCAAATCTTACCATTACTATGAATATATGAAGGCTTGGGATGAAGTCTTCGCGTACTAAAATATGACAAATTCTCACAGTTGGTACATACAGTTTAAAATAATTGACCCAAATGAATTCTCAAACTGGTTTAAAAATTGGTTCTCCATTTGAGGATCCACAGACCAGATACTTCCAACCGAACTTCAGATTTCTTAAAGAAATTTCTCTAGTTTCAATAAGAAAAGTTTAAAACGAAACTTTCACTTATATTTTATGGCCTTATATCATGTCCCATAGATTTTAAAGTGGGAATACCGGGTCTCCTCAGATGACATGGACATATATGATTATGTCCCTGAATTACACAGACAAATTTCCATTAAA